CTGGATAAGTAAATAATATTGTTTGAGACGCTTTGTAAGCTCATTAATATCATTATCCTTTTCATTAACTCGTTGTGTAAGATGTTTTAACTCTTGTATAGACCTAGAAGGAGATATTCATCTGTTAATATATGACTTGCATGGAGTATGTCCAATCTCAGAAATAGTTCCAACACTCCTACCAAGAATTGAACACATATTGATGTTTCATCCTAGACAGATGCATCATCCTCTAACTGCGCTTGTGATTGTTGTAACTCTAGCATCTCTTTCTGTCATATAATAACATGTTAAAATAAATAATATTTATTAAAAAATATACTAGTGTTATAAGTTATGTATCTTACATGTTGTGACTCATTTAGTTGGTTATCCCATCCATTTGCTGTTGAATGCATCCTCTTAAATAATTTGATATGACCTACTGATTCTTCCTGTGTAGACTAAAATAATATGTAAAAATAAAATTTGGTTATACCATCCTTTTACTTTGTTCAAAAACCTTATGGGTCTTTTATTGTCTTTTATTTTCGATGGATGCAGGAAGCTAGACTTCAATAGTACAAAATAAAAGAGCAAATAACAGTATAACATACATTATATTGCTTCGAATCACATTCACATTCGTATAAAACTTTTAATACCAAGACTAGTTTGTAGATCCACCAAACATTTCGATCCAAATCTCTACAAAAAGCTTTTAGAATGACGAAATAGTACTGACATGAGTTGAGAGACAGAAAACACAGTACGAATTGATCCAATTCATTGGCATCACATATCTGTTTTTCGAGTATCATTTCTAACATCCCTGCCTTTGTAGTTAACTTAATTTAATTTCTCATACATTACATTGCACATTAATAATTATTTTCCTAATAATTAAAATGTTAAACAAATTTTTAATCACGACACAAATAGATAAAATCAACAAAACCAAACAAGTTCAATCTAAGTGTTAAAGTTTGACTCAAATTCCATTGAGTATTTGTGGATTAGTTGAAGTGGGCTTTGAAGATGTCAAAATATGGACCAAGAAACGATTTAGCCGCATTTTCATTAGCTACACGCCAAGCTCCCACTCGAGAGCGCAAAATAGGTAGTTAACACTCGCTTAGTACCAGCATACCGTTCAAGTAGCGCCTTCGCCGTTCTTTTCCGTCAGGTGGTGCTCAAGCAGTGGTGGCATTCAAGCAGCGGTGGCATCTGGCCTTGATCTATTTCACGTTTTGACACTTTTTTTTATACTTTTCCATCTTTAGAACTATTCTTAAGGTTCTTCATTACAAGTTTGATAAGTAAGATAATATTGTAAATTCAATATTTTTGTATTCCTTCTCCATATTGTAGTGAATTCTCATTTTCCTCTACCAAATTGCTTGCGTTGTGATCTTTACTTCATATTGTGCTATATATCTCGTTCTTAATTCTTAACAAGTAGTATCAGAGTTTAAGGTTTGTCCTCTAATGGCAACCATGAAATATGATATTCCGTTTTTGGATCGGAGCATTAGATTTTCGTTGTAGCGGGTAAAGATACGAGTAGTTCCCGCTAAAATGGATTTAGATGATTTTTTTTTGGTTTGACAAGATGCCCACAAATTGGATTCTAGGGAGAAACAACGGAAGGAACATAAGGCCCCGTCACAAATTCATCTTTATCTTTCAAATCATATTTTTCAGGAAGTTTTGAATGAGAAAACTATAATTGCATTGTGGATGAAGTTTTAGTAATTATGTATGATGAAAAATCTAACAAGCAAATTGCATTTGAAGTAGTGTCCATCTTTAGAAAACCACATTGTTGTTTTTAAGGAAATTGTCACTGATTTAGAAACTTTAGAGGTTAAGTATGATGAAGATGATTAGGGATTGATTTTGTTGCCCACTTCAAATATGTTATATTGAGATACGATCTTATATAGTCGTGATACTCTCACTATTAAAAAATTTATGATACTCTTTTTTTAAAGGAGAAGATGAAAGATCTTGTTTGATCAGAGATGGAGATGGCCTTGTTATTGATGGTGGTTATGTAAGGGGTAGATCAAAGTTTAACTTCAGTATTCAAATTTGTAAATATTGGAAGAATAAGAGGCATATAAAAAAGGACTGTTATAAGTTGCAGAATAAGGAAAAATTAGCTGCAAATTAGAAGGGAAAGTAACCAGAAATTCAGGTGATGTCAATATTACAAAAAATTGCTACAGTGATGGAGGACTTTTGGTTTTTTCTGACGAAAACTCCAAATATGACGATGATTGGATTTTTTATACAACTTGCACATTTCATATGTGTTCCAATCAAGATTTGTTTTCAACATATGAAACAGTTTCAAAAGATGTGGTAATGGGTAGTATTGTACCTTTAAGACAATTAGTATTGGAATGGTCAAAATTAAGATCTTTGATGTGATTGTTAGAACATTTGATGACATGAGATATGTCTCGAACTTGAAGAGAAATATTATTTTATTGGGAACTTTTGATCAAAAAGGTACACTCGTGAAAGTGAAATCCTAAAGGTTAGAAAAGGCACCCGTGCTTTGTTGCAGGGACAGAAAAGGTCCAAGTTGTATATCTTGTAGGGTTCTACAGAATCTTTGAATACCAATTAGCATAAATAAGATAGATTAGTTGATATTCTATTTGGTAAAATATCGTAGGATTTTGACTTAGGGTCTATGTTGAAGAATACATCTCTGTCGAGTTCAAATTTATGGGTGATACTGTTTTGCCATCACTACCAGCGGTTCTACATTAGTCAATTGTTAGAGACAGACTCTCAAGATATATTAGGCCTTCACAAAAGTATTAGAAAACTGATTTAGTTTCTTATACTTTAAATGTGGTTGAAGGCATTGAGTCTAGCAAAGAACCTTCTACAGAAATAGTTTTGTAATGTTGATTGTGTTACGCGGTATACTTTTGCCCTTTTTGGTGATTGTTGAGTTGTTTTGTGATCTTGTTTCTCAAGGTAATAATTTGAGCAACTTTGGTACTTGAGGTAATTCTGTTGACTAGTGCTTTGATTTAGTTGACATTTAGTTATTGAGTTTATCCATATTGGATATTGTGGAAGAGCACGAGAATTTTGTTCGCTAAAGAATTCCTCTATATTCATGCCCAAGAGTTCAATTTTATTCATTGTGGTGGAATTTGTCTCTAGGGGGAGAGTTTTGAAGTCTTATTCATTGTATTGAAATTTGTGTCAAGGTGGGACTTGTGGATTAGTTAAAGTGGGCCTTGAAGATGTCAAAATATGGACCAAGAAGTGATTTAGCCACCTTCTCGTTAGCTGCACGTCAAGTTCCCGCTTGATTATGCAAAACAGGGAGTTGGCACCGCTTTGCGCCAGCCTGCAAAACAATAGCATGCATGCATTCTTAATACTGGGAAAATGGGATGACAATATCTGACCTTAGGTTGTTGGAACCTGAATTCTTAATACTGTAGTATGCATGCTTAAATATATGTGCCGTCTAATCTTTAGTTATTGGAACTTAAATTCTTAACTTTTATTTTCTGTAGCACATCTATCCTATTAACATACAACATATTTTAATTATTGGGCAAATGCACAATCGAAATTTAGTTAATGAATAGGATAGCATGCAGTAAATTTAATGACCGGTGATTATTTGAAGTTGATAAACAGAAAACAACAAATCCAACCGATTTTAATTGCCAGTGCTTCCATAATTGCAGTGAAAGACTAGTCTCACCATGGTGATTATATGGTATCTTGGCTTGATTGCGTTTCTTAGCTGCAGATCGCTTCTATGACCGTGAAGTACTTAATTAGGCAACAAATTCACCCAACTAAAAGTATTCCACGTGTTTTTTTATGAAGAGGACTTAAAAGATTATTACGAAAAACCCCCAATTTCATGAGAAAAAAGGCAGTACAAATAATCATGTGTTCGTCGCAAAGAGGCAAAGAAAAAATTGCTCCAATCTTAACCTACCAAAAACTTTATCGACCAAAAATTGGTCGCTGGAGGTATCTTATAGCATCCATTTTTGTGTGGTAATTGAATCCTCAGTCGGTGGATCTCAATTTTTTTGTAGTGTATCAAAGGAACTTCATACAAACTCAAATCTATTGGTTTTATTGTTATTGAACTTCAGCATTCCTTCACACATAATTTATAATCACACTATTCTGATGGATATAATATAAATAATACATGGTTATATGCAAGGAAATAATCTATATTACTATGTTAATATTTCACAAAGTTGAAATATTGTGCTTGTTATTTAGGAGTAGTGTATATTAAGGTTGTATGCTTGAATGAAGAGTCCATTAGGCGTATATCTCACTTTAAATAATCTATTAAATTTGAACGAATGATTCTGATCGATTAAGACTCAAAATGAACACAGAAATTTCAAAATTAGTGTTCTCATACGTGCCATCATTTAATGGGAGCATGTTAATGATAAATGTCACATTGAATAACAATGATATAAATGCACAATATTTAACAATTTTTGCTATTCCTATTAATAAAGCTGACATTTTAAGATTGAATTCAAGCCATAACAAAGTTAAGCCTCTTCCAAGAGACAATCATTCTTGAAGGATTGCAAAGACGTGATAAAGGATACAACCCTTTATGTATAAGAACATATATATAAAGAATAGTTGACATACAGTTTTCTTCCAGACTCAATAGAGAGCATGATAATCTATCAAGGCAAAACTCTTGAGAACATGGATCATGCCAACCTAGATGAACTCATTTTGCATTTCTATTTACGAGTAAAAGCAAGTGATGGCACATTTTTGGCAATCTCAACTATATGTAGAAAGGAAAAAACTCGAGAAAAAAATTGCAATACGAACTTCAAAAAAATTCAAAAATGTTGTTTTATTTTCTATTGCACAACTTGTCAAATCCACAACTCAAAGCAAAAAACATAAACCAAACTAAGACATTTTACATCTTGAAGTTGAAACAGTTCCATTAACAAGATACTATTATGAATGCAACTTCATAGAGGAACTCGAATATAGAGGGGAAAGGGATTGTAAGGCTCCGGTGCTGAATCCCATACTGAAAATGCACTGCTTGAGTTAATCCATTTCTTTGTCATCTCAGGGTAATGCCGATCTAACACATTTTTTAGGCTTTCAGTTGTGTTTACCCATTCCAGCCCTTTCTTTGTATATGCTTCTTCACTAAAATCACTTGTGAAAAATCCATCCGCCTCTATTCTTTTGCATTATTTCTCCATTTCAGATATACACGTATGAACCATAAACATACGATGGCGATATGAAGAAATTTTAGTTTCATTTTTAATAACTTTTATCTCCTAATAACTAATAATTTTCTTTTATCACTTATAGATACTACTTGTCAATGAAATCAACTGTACCTTGATGCCATGATGAGGAAAATCATAAAGGCCGTCTCGCTAATAGCAAATCCCTTGATCTTTTTCTCTGCCATCAATCCCACAAGAAGATCAAGCTCCTCTACATCATCACCATAGACTTCTCGAAGATCTTTGAGAGCTTCTTCATCATCTGTTAGACCATTCCACTTTGAAATGGGAATCAAAAGGAGGGACCTCCTGAAATCATTGTATCTGGCGACATTCTTTTCTCTGTCCCTGTAAATTGCAAGCAATTATTTGCATTAGATTTACATCCTCAATCATTGTTAACTTGTTTTCTCACAATCAAGATTAGTTAGTTGCGTCGGGAGAATAGGCTAAACCAGTCTAAGCTTGGTCAGTCACTTGGGGGCCAGCATTTTATGAAGACCAACACGACACTATCATAGTTTGGGCTGGTGGGGGTGTACGAAGCATGATTGGCGTTAAACTTGGTTTGTGCCAAGTCCAGCACGAAGTTGACATGAGTCCGACAGACATAGGATGCTTTGCAACCCTACTTTGTGCATCATTTTTGTGTGATAGGTCTACACCTACACAAGTCACATGTATAAAAAATTATGTGCATAGTTATCTGATACAAACTTTCGAGAGCAGGTAATGTAAGGATTTTTAATCAAACATGTGGGCTTATAAGTGAAATATTGTGTATTAAATTAAAGGCTATCAATATCGGTTAAGCCCATTTAAAGTGAACTAATAAGGTTTCGGTAT